ATATATATATATATATACACATATATATATATATATATATAATATTAATAAAAGTATATATTACAATAAATACTAACGTATAAGGACTATTTTCTAAAATTTGGGGCCCTAAAATTCATAAAAAATCGGGGGTTCGAGGCGACTGCCTTTCTCATCTTACCTCAGAACCGGGCTTGACCAAACATCAAATTAAGTCCAACTATTTAGTTAATTATGGCTTATCTGACAACCAAATGGGGCCTTAAAATATAAAATCTTTAATTGCATAGGACTAAACGTGATTTAGATAATATATTATGCTTCACTTTTTTTCATACATCCATCAATCACATTATTAAAATTTTGGTTACGAAATAAATAAAATACAATGTCTCAATTTATGAACAAATGCTTAGAATGAGGCAAGTAAATTTAATTTTTGTTTTAAAAAGTGCTAATCACGGTGCTTTTCATCCGATTTTTGTGCATAGCTGTATATTACACTTATTAATCGTAGATCTGCACATAATCACACACACATTCATGTATATACACATTTAGCGAGTTATAATTTATCCTCATTAATAACTAAAAATCCCCCGATTAAAATAACCCGATGTAGCATCCAACTTCCCGGTGGTATACGAACATCTTTATCAGGTAGGGGATCTCATATGTCTATCACTTTCATGGACATAAAATATCCCTTTATATTTGCTTGAGATGTCCAATGAAAATAGAATTTCATAGTGATAAATGGGCCAGCTGGTAATTAATTCCATCTGTCAGATTTTGCAATGCTGTCAATTTAACAGGGTAAATTACAACTACCTCCCTGAGATATAGTGAATTTATGAAAAAGCCCATATTATTTGGATAATTATATATACCCCCTCAACTATGATTTTTTTCTTACACATCTACCCTTATGGTGACAAATTCAACATAATCATCTAGATTTTGTGGAGTGTGCTCTAGTTTGTACTCATTTTGTTTAATAATACAGTTTTTGTTGCACCACAATTTGATATATACAAGCCAAAAAATATATATTATGATCATCTTGCTTCAAAATGTGGAGTTCGAATGTCATAAAACGGGTACAAAAGTGATAAAATCCATATAATCTCGAAGATTCCACTAAATTTGAACCCGCAAGGGTGGACGTGTAAGAAGTTTTATAGTTGATGGATGATTGTAATTACCCAAACAAGAGGGGGATTTTCATAATTTGATCATACCTCCGGGGTGGTTGTAGTTTACCCATTTAACATATATGGTTTAATGGTGCAAATTTAGACCGGATGGCTTGTTTTAATAGGAAAATCGGATGTCATAGAATGATTGACACGTGGATGTTTAAATAAAAATACAATTATGATTCTAATAATTGGAAAAGAAAAAAAACCACGACAGAACCCGTAATCCATCTAACCGTAATTATAATTAGCATAATTTATTAAGAGTTAAGATTTAAGAATGCCACATATCAAAATAATTAGTTGAATCCGATTTATATTAAATATCGTCGGCTCAGAATTTAATCTCATGTTTTAAATGTCTATTTGTTGAAAATAATGCTTGTGGTGTAAAATTCAATATGCACAACACAGGTCCTACACGAATAAATTCATGTAATAAACTCAAAAGAGTCCGCTCCTGAGTTTTCAATATTATTTTATTTATTGACTACATAATAATATATAATATATAATAATATATAGGGTTATGAGACAAACCCCCTCATTAGAAAATAT